CCACGATGCGCGGTGATAACTAAGAGCAGCCCACTTTGAGAGCTGCATTCCGAGTGCATACCGCGGTAGAGTGCACTCAGGCTCGGATTAAGTTCGAGGAATTCGAGCTAGCTCTGTTGTTCGATGGTACAACCGGTGGAACACACTCTCAATCGAGAGAAATTCGATTTGGAAAAAGTTACACACATTTATTATTATTATTATTATTATTATTATTATTATTATTATTATATATTTCGTATTTAATAAATTATTATAATCGGAAGAAATAGAGAAAGAAAAAGAAAGATCCGACGAAGATAACAATTATTTAGATTCCTATGGCTTCCCCATCCCCCCCTTACCCTTTTGCAACCATCCAATTATTCTTTTACCATTTTTCTTTTTTTTTTTTTTACAATGAAATACATTTTATTTTATTACAATTGTCGAAGATTCGATAAAAGGAAAATTTATACCGCCTAATCGTAGCAATCGAGATGTGATCTCAAAAAATCAAATAAAATAAAATGAGAACGCTGTATAGGATAGCGTTGCCCGTTCCATGGAGAAAGAGAATTTCGATTTGAAAATGACAAACGGGGCTTCCGCGTTGCGATGTACCTACGTAATAACGTGCTATTATCGCGTACAGCATCGCGGTTATCAGACGTGTGCGTGAACTCGCAGAAGCCGTACTCTCGGCACACAGTCAGGTACTTTCACCGAGTGTAACTGAATTTCTCGTGGTATTTCGCTTTATCCGGATGATAGTAGCCATTTACTACTTATTTACGTTACCTTATGAGGAATGAAGAAGATACTTAAACGTAAGAATAAAGAAAAAGAAAAAAAAAAAAAAGAAAGAAAGAAAATCTAGGAATACATGTGAAAAATGGGCAAAGATAAACGAGTAATAATAATTTCATCGATGTGTTTTATACTGATGAAAATTAAATCAAAATATCAAATTCTCTGTTTTATGTCGAATAATTCGAACCACGTAACGTTACATACCCACAATGTTATGTGTATATCTGTTTACTTACATACCTCGAGAAAGCGAGAACTTTATGAGGCACAGTGCTATGCGAACCTATATCACGGAAAACTAGTTTGATCGTTTGCTACACAACTCGATAGCCCTGATAAATAAAATCTATCATATAGGAGACACGCGTGTTTATGAGTTTCACATCGAGAGAAACCACCATCGATCCTGAGATTAACCATATCTGTTCATCTCTTTTGGTTGTTCTTTTTTTTTCTTTGTTTTTCAAACAAACCAAACAAAACAAAAAAGAAGGTATCTAAACAAGTTAGACAATTTGAAGCGAGAACGAACGATGATAAATAAGCTAACATACGACACGTGGGGGGAAGGGGGATAAAAAGTACGTTGTCACGTGCGCGTACAGTTATACCTTACGATGTGATTCGCGAGAGGATCGCGAACCGTTAGCATTACTCTCTTAAATTTGATTACACATTTCTTCCATTCCTTGCTAAGTTTCCACCACCACCACCAACCACTTTATCCCACATTTTATTATCAAACAAATCAACGAACAAAGTTCAACGCAAACGATACGATACGATAGAATACAGTCGAATGATATTCAATCGATGAAATAATATTGTCAATAACAACGAATACGTTGTTTGTTTTATTTAACAAAATGAAATCTATTATTTTATGGGAATGGATTTAAGGGCTGGTAATAGATGAAATAGGAATCTTAGAATGATTGGTAGTCACAGGGCAACTTGTCTTCTAGAGACGGCGATGTTGAATTGTGGCAATGCGGTAGGGTGCGGGGGCCAGGGGGTCTGGGGGT